TTGCTATAGCAGGCAAAGACGGACTAAGGTCCTTGCTATAGCAGGCAAAGACGGACTAAGGTCCTTGCTATGGCAGGCAAAGACCTAAAGAAACCACGCAATGGCTGGGTTTTCAACCAGGTTCCGGAACACAGACTCCCAGCTCGCTCCGTTTACTCTTTCGAGCCACATTTCTTCGTGTAGGCTAAGCTCGAGAGGCAGGTAGGCAGCCAAACACGACAAGGTAAGCAGCAGGGCAGCATAACGAGCGACAAGGCAGGAAGGCAACAAGGCAACAAAGCAGGGAGGTAGCAAGTCAATGAGGTAGCAAGGCACAGTGAGGGGCAAAGCAGATGATCAGCCAGGCAGCAAGGCAGCGCACATGGCAAGCGAGAGAGTAGCAAAGCAGTGGGGCAGTACCGACGAGGCAACACATAGGCAAGCGGAAGAGCAGCCAGGCAGAAAAGCAGCAACGAAAAAGCAGTCCACTCATATGACACGGATCACCACCTACTCACACCACCATCCGAGCCAGGGAGTCACTTCAACGAATGTTTATAATCACTCAGGGACACCACAGACACAGAGGCATCCCCGACACAGAAGCCACCCTAATAGTGTTGCAGGCACTCCCAAAAAAGAGGCACTGACTATTTGGCACATCTTAAAGGTGCTCACTTAGACACGGAGGAGAAAGGAAGAGACCAGAGAGCGCACAAAGTGAACAACAGAAAGCAAATACTTAGATGAGAAGAAGAAGAAGAAGAAGAAGAAGAAGAAGAAGAGGAAGAAGGAGGAAGAAGAAGAAGAGGAAGAAGAAGAAGAAGTAGAAGAAGAGGAAGAAGAAGAAGAACTAGAAGAAGAAGAAGAGGAGGAGGAGGAAGTTAAAGATAAAGGAGATTATATGGCGCTGACTATTTGGCACATCCTTAGGGTGCTCACTTAAACACAGACGAGAAACACAGGAAGAAACCAGAGAGACAAGAGAGCGCACAAAGCAAATAACGGAAAGGAAATACTTGGATGAGAAGAAGACACGAAGAGAAGTTGTATATGACTATGACTGTGTGCGTGTGTGTGTGTGGTCACACGGTTTTAGATGCCCATGAAACCAATGAAAAGCATGAATGTGAAATCCTGGGTATTAGCAAGGTGCAGGCTCCCCCGTGCCTTCGAGGGTGCTTTCAGCAGTCAGACGACAAGGGGAAGTAGTAGGAGAGGGTGAGGGTGAGGGTGAGAAGAGGATGAGAAGGGTAAGGGTTGAGGGAGAGAGGATAAGCAGATGAGTCAAAGGGTAAAAGAGTACGGGGTCGGGTAGAACGGTAGGACAACGAGTTGGACAAGAAAGAGGAGAAGAGATGGACACCGTGTGAGAGCAAGAACAAAAGAGAAGGTGACAAGTGAGAACAGTGAGTTACTC